CAAGCGGTTGGGAGTGGAACAACGGGCGGCGGCGTGGGTTTCTTCCTCTGCAAGGACGGCGGCACCGTTCATATTGGTGATGATATTACAAGTGTGTTTGATAAGAGGGAATGGAACAAGTGGAAGATGAGTAGTGAGTGGTTTTTGGTTTATTTATAGTTATATAATTATTAATGTGTAGAGGAAGGAAGAGAGGGTAATTTTGAAAATTGAAAAAGTGATGAATTTATGGTAGGGTGTTCCAGAAGACGCTAGGAGTAGTTTTGTGGGTGTGGTTGTGGAAGAGACACGTGGCAACACTCTCTAACACGTGGCGTTAATAAATAGATGAAAGAAGGATTTGCATTTTGCAGGAGCGCGCCTGCTCTTTTCACTTCACCGCCTCCTCTCTGCTGCACTTTCTATGTTATGACAACCAGACAAGAATGTTGGACAATATATTTTTGTTTAGTGGATTAATTAAAGGAGTAAAAATAAAAGGAGGAAAATTCTTAAGTAGGGAAAATTATAAATCCTCCAAAATTTAGATAAAATACAAAATGATAAGTCTGTTTGTACTAATTTTTAATTAAGGTAGAGTATTAAAAAATTATTTGTTATGCTATTAATTTAGTTCATCACAGTTCTTTAAACCTCTATTTTAAATTCACTTATTTACAATAGAAGTTGCAAAGAGAGTGAAAAAAAGTAGTTTTCATCTTTGGATTTGTAGGTTTGAATAAAAAAAAGTAGAAAAGAAAGAGGAGAAAGGGAGATATACAGGGAGAACCAAAAGTTTATTACGAACAACTTAAACTTTTCAAATTGGTTCTTCTTAAAAACTACAAATATTTATAGTAAAATAATAATTTCAAGAAAAGTAAGATTAAACACTTAATGGATCTTGAAATATACATATTGCAGAATGCGATGCTTTACTAGAGATGGATTAAGGCTAAATCCTACAACTTAAGTAAAACTTGAGACACATCTGCTTAATAATTAAAGAAGACTTTTTTTCCTAAAAGAGAGATCATTGTATCAATTTCGTTCTTATAATTTAAATTCCCTTATCATATTCTAATTATTAAATTAATTACATACTTCAGCACATAATTTTAATATTTTTTCAATTATATATATACACATAATGTGTGGGTGATTAAAATAATCACATGGAAGATTACAAAGAGCACCTATAAAAGAGTCTCACAAAAGAATAAAAGGAATTTCAAACTATATATATCTAGCCAAAAATATTGTAACGCATAAGAATATTACATTATGAAAAAAACAAAAAATAATAAAATTATCCGTACATATATGGCCTTTTTCAAACTTCTTTTGCATATAAAGTTTCATCGTGTTAACTGTGAGAGACAAGTATGAAATTGGATGAAATATACTTTTTTTTATGCATATAACATATACAGATTAAAAAAAGTATTTAAATAGTATATTGTGCTCTAACTATTTATATAGATAATGTGTTTTTTTTTTCGTGTTAAAATTTGGTCTTTGGAAAATCAAATTCGAATATGTAATTAGGAGAAAATTGGTTGAAAAATAAGTTACAATTCAATTTTCGGGTAACGGAATTCTAAACTGTAATTTAAAAGAAATTTGTTGAAAATAATATTAGTATTTCGAAAACTGAATTTTTATTTTCATGATTTAAAAAAACCAAAAAGTTAAAAAAGAAAATATCTACTACTAACATATTTTGATGTGAAATAAATTATGTTGATGAAATGAATATTTCAGTTTGATATTTAAATTTATATCTATATATTCAAGCGTTGTTTTGGGCTTTTAAATCTCTTTATTTATTACAGTTTAATAAAAAAATAATGATACTTTTATACTATTTTAATATTATTTATGTGATTAGTTCATTTTTATATTTATTATTATTGTGAAGTAATTTTAGATCTATAATCATAAATAACATTAAAATATTGTCGAATATCATTATTTTTGATAAAATTATAAATACTTAAAAAAAAAAAAGAATCACCGACAAATCTAAAATGCTCCCAACAACTTGGGCAGTGTTTTTATGATGAGTTAAGTAAAAACAAAACTAATTATTATTATTATTATATTATTATTATTATTATATTATTATTATTATTATTATTATAATTATAGAGTTAAGAAGAGAGCCGAAAGTCGAAACCTGCGTAAAGTAAAGATGAAAGGGTGGAATGGATGTTAAACTTGAAGACAGAAACGTGTCATCATGGTAATGGACAACGTGGTACATGTCATAAATGTTCCCAACATCTTTGAGTTTTCTGTTACTTTTATAGTTTTCCTTCCTTTATACATTAACCTTTCAACACAATCACCATTATTCACGTCACAAATCGCTTTCACTTGACGCATTTTATTTCTTTCCCTTTCCACCCTTTCTTCTCTACTATCCTCTTCTTCTTGCCATACAATTTCTAACGCAGTAAGCGAGTGTGCTGAACCGTACAATACCAAGATTTTCTTCACATTTTAGTTTAGCGTTAGTTTAACATACTGCAAAAAGGTTCCTTCTTTTGCGTGCAGTTGAGCCTGCCAGAGTCTGAAATGGAGAACGGGGATCAGTTCCAGGGGATTTCCAATGCGAAATACGATTGTCTTTTATTTGGTAAGCCTTGACTATTTTTGGTGACTTTCCCACTCGTAAATGCAGGCTTCGTTATTTGCCATGGTGATATTGATGACTTAATTTCAGATCTTGATGATACCCTTTATCCTTTGAGTTCTGGATTGGCTGAGCACGTGAAGAAAAATATCCAGGGTAGTGACTTCACCGAATTGAATGTGTCATCACTCTAATGTGTGTGGATTTCGCTGAATTTCTTTATTTCAATGGGTTGTACAGAGTACATGCTTCAAAAGCTTGGGATACCAGAGGCTAAAGTTCCTGAATTGTGCTTTTCCTTATACAAGACTTATGGTACAACCATGGCTGGTCTCAAGGTATAAGTAATTGCACTTTTATTGTTTGTTAAAAGGCATTTTTATTTGTTTATTTAGATGTAATGCTAACGAATCAATCCCAATCATTGTGTCTTTCTTTTTCACCAGGCTATTGGCTATGACTTTGACTATGATGACTTTCATAGGTAACTGTCTCTACATATCTGACATTTGTTCCATTTTTCAAATATTTTTGTATTAGTTAGAAATCATGTGAAATATAATAAGCACCGAGAACTATTTTGTGTTGAGCAGCTTTGTTCATGGGAGATTGCCATATGATATACTGAAACCTGACCCTGTTCTGAGGGGAGTTTTGCTGAGCTTGCCTATTAGAAAAATTGTGAGTTTCTTTGTTCTTATTTAATAATGAACAAAATAGGATCTGATTCATAAATATATCTTCAGCATAATGTTGCTATCATATTTTTTTTTCAAGATTTTTACGAACTCAGACGAGGCCCATGCTAGTAGAGTGCTTCGCAGGCTTGGATTGGAGGATTGTTTTGAAAGAGTTATATGCTTTGAGACCCTGAATTCCTCCAATGAAGATGGCAGTGAATGTAAACCAAGTTCCACAGGGGTTTTTGATTTTTATGAATACATTCATAGTCCTGATTCTGATGTAGTGCTTCCACGGACCCCGGTTGTATGTAAACCCTCTCAAGATGCATTTGAAAAGGTTTTCAGTGTAGCAGATATAGACCCTCGAAGGACAGTAAGATCACCAATCCTTCTTTGCTCATTTCTTTTCCCTTCTCTCTAGTCCTAATTTGACCTTTGTTTTGTGTCTTTTGTATCCAAGAATACCACTTATCAGTTTTTTAATGATATGTATTTTCTTACAAACTAAATTATGTAACTGTTTTGCTTTTCCAGTTATTCTTTGATGACAGTCTCCGCAATTTACAAACGGGCAAATCCGTAGGCCTTCACACAGTCTTGGTCAGTAGCATAACACTAGTCATAGAATAGAACATTAGTTTTTTTTTTTTCTTTCTTTCTGGTGTTAGTGATTTCCAACGGCATATAGTAGCCTATACAGTTGTGAATTATCTAATGTGACATGCATGCATGCAGGTGGGAAATTCTGTTAGAACTACGGGAGTGGATCATGCCTTAGAGAGCATCCATAATATGAAAGAGGCATTTCCAGAACTGTGGGAAAGCGATGAGAAGCCTGAAAGTGTGGAGTGTTCTAGAAAGATTTCGATTGAGACATCAGTGGTGGCTTAACTTATACTTCCAAGTTATGATAACTTATGGTGTCTGGTAGTGTAATGTGGTTTGATGTTGATTAATGTTGTTGCAGAATTTTATATGTTTATTTCAAACAATAGGCAAAGGTAGTATGTTTTGAAGACAGACGAAAACTCCCAGAACCATGCTTCAATTATAATCTGCGTGCAACCCTTAACGCCAAAAATCTATAAATTACATATATGTGTCATTATTATCCACACAGAAATGCTAAGAATAGACAAATTCTTGTGAATACACTTTGCAATTGTTTGAATTTGTATTTAATAATTTTTTTTACATTTTACAAATTTTAAACGTGTTAAGAATGCATAATGTATGTTAATACTACTTCTATTGATGTCGAACTTAACCGGTTGATTAAACAAAACTCTTACGAAAAAAATGATTGGTTTTAACTTTCAATTTATTTATTTTTTATCTTGGCTTATTGGGTTAAATTTTATAGTTCTTCACTTTCTTTGTCTATCAGTTTTAATCAGATGGCTGGGACTATGAAGTTAAAACATGACTGCTGTCTGTGCTTCTCTCACAATTTTCTTAGCGCATTGTTAGCATCTTATGTTTTGCAGGATACATTATCTCCATTACTGTTTTATACAAATTCCCTTCAACTAAATTCTTCCCTCCAAAGCTGTATGGGTGGCTTCTCAAATCATATGAGGGCATCGTATAATTTAAGGAACGGTTTGCATAAAAAAACATAAAAGGCGTGCTGATAAGAAAATAAGAGGCCTATAGCATTAAATACTACCAGTAGCAGATAGGAAATGACGAATATCGGCAAAATAAATCAAATAAGAATTCAAAATTTTTGGAGTAATTTCTTGTTCCATGAGGTTACATCTGATATTTACATATATAGCATGAAAAGCGTATATCAGAGTGGAATATGGATTAAGCTTAGCCAATGTTGGTTCAACCAATATTCCGTAATATCAAAAGAAAACAAGACAAAATTAGACAATAAAGATCAATCCATTAACGTATGCTTCTTTCCAGTGAAAGGCTTGAACTTTAGCTGTTCTTCCTTTTGGGATTTCTCTTGACTTTTGTTTCCTGGATTAAACTAAAAGCAAAGAAAAATTGGTTAGATGAACTTCTGAAGGGAAAATGCATACAAAAATCATGTAAACAAATTATAGATTTTATGCCATTTCTGTCTATCAATAAAATTGCTACTGCTGAGAACTACCTTAGGTGTTGCTTGAAAGCTAGACGTAGTTACATTGGATCCAAACACAAGATTTCCAGAAGATCTACATGAAGCAGTATTTGTTGGCTTAGAATCAGAATTCTTCATTTCTTTGTCAGTTTCTTTGTGCTTTAGCTTTGGACGGGATGTTTCTTCAACTGTTCGTGTTGAGGATTTACCACCCAAACGTCTTCCCATTCCAGAGAACGGAATGAAAGGGTTGTATTTTGGATCTTCTTCCTCTAGAAATTTCTCTTGCCATTTGTTTTCATGAGAAGTCTAAAAACAAAGAAAAATTGGTTCAATGGAATCATAGAATTTTTACGGCATTTCTTTGTCCCTCCGTAAATTACTACTGCTAAGAATTACCTTAGATGTTGCTTGACAGCTAGATGAAGCTGCATTTATCCCACACACAAGCTTTCCAGAAGCCATACGAGACGCAATATTTACTGGCTTAGAATCAGAATCCTTCATTTCTTTGTCAGTTTCTTTCTGATGTAATTCAGGAAAGGATGCTACTTCAACTGGGTGTGCTGAGGTTTTACCACCCAAACGTCTTCCAGAACCAGAAAAGGGAATGAAAGGTTTGAATTTTGGATCTCCCTCCTCCTGGGATTTGTCTTGACATTGACTTTCTTGAGAAACCTAAAATAAAATAAAATTGATTAGATGAACTTCTGAAAGGAATAAGAGTCTGAACTCCTATCATGTTAATGAAACGCGTCTATCCAGAAAATTCCTACCGCTAGAAACTACCTTAGGTGTTGCTTTATTGCTAGATGTAGTTGCATTTGACTCAAACACCAGCTTTCCCAAAGCTCCATGAGACGCAGTATTTGTTGGCTTAGCGTCTGAATTATTGATTTCTTTGTGATATTGTTTCTGCTTTAACTCCGGAAGGGATGTTTGTTCAACTGGTTCTAACGAGGCTTTACCATCCAAGCGTCTTGAAAAACCAGAAAATGAATTGAACCGGGCAATCTTTTTTGGCGGCTCATCTTCAACTGAAATGCCAAGAATATAATCATAAACTGCGAATGAAGCTTTTTACTAAATAAAAATGAGCAAATTCAAAAGAGCATAGAATGCCAACCCTTTGGTCTTCTCCTGTCAACTTTGGCTTGTTTCTTAGGTTCTTTATAATCAAGTGGCGGAGCAAAATCAACTTCACAGTCAGTTTCAATTATACTGACTGCAGGAGAGGGTCGAGTTCCAACAACGTCAATGTAATACTTCTTCTTGTTGTATTGAACCATTATAGTGTCCCCAGTTGTTAAGCATGAGTAACTCCTCAGTGAAGTCTCTAAGCTGTGAATAATCAAGAGAAAGAAAGAGCATATCAATTGACACATTACCAAAGGCATATCTAGATGTTGCAAAAGAATACTAACATGGCTTTTGGATTGTAGATATCTAAAAAATCCTTTGTGTGAGGCTGCAGCTTCACATAAGTTGCTTTTGTAAGGTTGGTGTTTTTCACATATAAAAGGTCTCCCTCTTGGAGGAGCATATTTTCCATCATCTGACAACAAAAACAAAAGAATACCATAAACTGTAAACAAATGAGAAAAAATTCAATGAGCAGAAATGACACAGAAAATACAATCAACAAAAGAAGAGGTATCACCTACCCAGTATGGTATATATATGATCCCTTCATCAGCTACGAATTCTAGCACCCCACAATGTGTAACTCTTTCAGCAGAAGGATTAATAAGTTGAAATAACATAGGGTACTCTATGTGCAAAGATGCTGAGAAACAAAACCAGTGGAAGTCGTGATATATATTTAGATGAATAAGCAAGTAATTTAGCAGGCAGGAAAAAATGAATCAAATAGTTGAAATCAGACAAACATTAACTCACCGAGGCGATCAAGGGCTGAGGGAGGCATGATAACTGAAGGAAGCGATAATTGTCATAAGAAAACTTATAGGGATACTTAAGTTACGAAAGTTCTATACATGTTTAGAATCAAAGAAGTAAAATATAAGTTGTTGGTACATACTTTTATCACCCTTTTCCAGATGTGACTGCAAAGAATCAAGAAATTATGGAATCAGATTAATATTTTGAATCACGTGCACATTTAAATATATATTTTTTTTAAAGAGAGCTATATCAATGCACGTGAAAAAATCACCAATGTCACTCACAACCCGGTAAAGTAAGCAATCTACAGCCAGCGGCCACAGACCAATTGGGCACTGGATGATTAACACAAGCACAAGTACAAACCATAAAGGATACGTTGATCATTGTGAATAGAAAAGTTCTAACAATTGAGGAAAGAAAACGGAAGCTTCAAATTTGAAAATTTTCTCTCTGGCAACTATCACAAGAAAATTACAGGCATCGTAGACCGCCAGAGGCCGAATCAGTGATCGTACCTTGTCGATGAAGGAGACAGGATAACAGCGATAATACTGTTCAAAGGTTCCACATCGATCATTTCCGTAATACGCCTGCAATTTTGTCAAAGCAAAAAGAAGAAAAGAAAAAGTTAACATACGAAGTACGACAATGAAAATTATCGACAATTATTTGATCAAAGAAAGAAAAAGGTCGGCACTTAGACCATTAAGTTCCAAGGCACGCAATTTGGAAGACTCGATCAAGGATAAAGAGTGATCACTGATAAAGTTCAAGATTAAAAAGAAACCATTTCCTAATTGATTCAAATTTACAATTTCTGTCATTAACATTGTTGATTGCAGAGTCAAGAACACAAAGAATAAACAAAAGTAGTGGGTCAACGTACCATAGATTTCGAGGACTTGAAGACAACTTGAAGTCTGCGTGTGCCTGAAGTTAACAAAGAAATAAGCAAACACAAACAAATACCAATAATCACGATCCAGTTCAACGAAAAATGTGATCGGATGAAAAATTTTGCAACTTGCAGAAAGTTACAACAACCTGCGATGAATGACGAGAAAAAATACAAGGAAAGTTGCGTGGGGAACTCCGAGTGTTATTACACCTCATACATGCTTCAGAAGAACACGGACACGGCATTTTATAGGTTAGGACTAGGAATGCTTCGGGTTTGCTGTGAGCAATATCTCTCTTTTGGGCCGAATCGAAGCCAAATAGTAAATTTGGGCCGGCCCGTTTGAGGCGGGCTTTTCTTCATATACCGAACTAATTCTCTCTGCACCCCGCGTTTTGCTGTCATTGGTTCCAAGCATGTAAATGGGATTGGGTGGAGGAAGAGGAAGAGTGATTGAACAGTGAAAGACCACAATATTATTTTAAAAATTAAATATTTTTTTCAGTTTCAAACTATTATGAAAAATTATATTTCATTTTTAAATTAAATTATAAAATATTCAGTCTTTATATTTTATCATTTCTAATAAATAACATGTATAATATTTTCGTATGATAATTAGAGTTTCATAATAAATTAAAATAACTAAAATATATTTTTTGTGTAATATTTATTTTAATCACTCTACAATATTTTTTTTCTTATCTTAGTCACTTGATTTAGTATTTCAGTAAGGGAATAAAAGCCATGGAAATCCAATTATGTTGTTATAAAGATAAACATAATCGGTTAAAAAGTTAATAAACTTCCCAACCTAACAAAGCTAACACACCTAAAGAAACAAATAAAAGTTAATAAAAAAATGAAAGTAAAATAACATACTACTTATTATCACTATTAAAGATTTAATAATTTCGGAATTTAATACACAAGAATTTATAATTATAAAATAAAGTCTAAAAAGGAAAAAAAATGTTATATATTTACATCAGTCTATCATTATTAGTATTTTTTCTAACGTAAAAGTCCAAAAAGAAAAACAACATATTTGTATAGTGCATGTATACTTTTTTTTTCCTTTTTCTGATGACAATAAAGAGTGAAAAAAATAGTAATTATTAAAATTATATAAGGAAAACAGTTACAAAAATAAATCATTTTATTCATTTCTAAGATTTTTATTTTGGATAAGAGAAAATAAAGGTAATGACGTTTAAAAAGGAAATAAGTAATAAAAGATACATACAAATATTAATCAGGGAATATAAATGATAATAAAATAATAGTAAATTTTGTGCATAAATAAAAGTAACAAGAAAATTAATTTCCTTTATTATCGGTCTTTATTATTGGTATACATTATTTTGAATGGATATAAGTAAAAAAGCAATACTAAAACTTATATCAAAATTATAAAAGATCCGTCTAAAAACACATATATAAAATTATATAGATAATACAATTAATAAAACAAAGTTAGTTGAGTTTGAATGAGAAAAATAATAAAAAAATATAAACAGAAAAGTAATTACAAAAGGAATAAAATCTTTGAATATTGATAGTATAGACAAAGATTAATTAAGTTTAAAAACGGAAAATAATAAAAATAATAAAAGTGTGTGCTTAAAAACAGTTACAAAATTATAACACAAACATACATATATATATATATATATATATATATATATATATATATATATATATGGGTTTTCAAGAGAAATAAAGATGAGTATTAGTTGAAATCTGGTAGAGATCAGGCGGGAAAGTAACTATTGTGGATTTTCTTTTTTCCTCCAAAAAGAAAAAGACATTTTATTTGGGGCGCCAGCACCGCCGTATACGGCAGTCTCAACGGTTGCGGGTGGAACAACGGGCGTTGGTGCCTACCTCTGCAAGAACGCCACCATTGTCAATATTGTTCAAGAAATTAAAAGTAAATTTAACAAGAAGGAATGGAACAAGTGGAAGATGAATAGTGAGATGCGGGGGTGCAAAAAGTAAAAGTTTATATATTTTGTTTTCAAAAGCCCTATTAGTCTTCTTATCAGATATTCTCTGAAACAAGAAAAAAACACAACTCTTTCAAATTGGAGAAGCTAGGTTAACTTTGCGGTGTGGTCGCGGTGGTGGACTTTAGAGGAGGAGGAAGAGATAAATCTGAAAGGGGAAGTTGAAAGCGCAATGGCGAGGCGAGAGCTTTCGAGCACGTTGAAGAACTTGAAGGTAAAGAATTTAAAGGGAACGCTATCGTTTCTCTTTGTCGTTTTCGTTGATTTTCATTACTTGTTTATGAGACTTTACCTTCGATTGTTCGATTCAGTATTAGATATGAAAGTTTAGGGTCTAATGATGCTTCCCCTGTATCTGTTTCGATGTTGGGTAGTTCATGCAAAGGGCGGCTGTGAGGGAGGAGAAAACCAAGAGAGAAGAAGATATCAAACCGGATGTCAGTATTATTACTACTCCTACAACAGTGACTAGAAAGTGGTATTTTTCTTACCTAAATTCAAATAATTCGTAGGGATTGAGATTTGGGATTGCCTATCATCGAGGCTGATTTTTGTTTTTGTTGAAATTATGATGTTGGAAGTTAGGCATTTGTTTTTCTCTCAAAAACCATTTACAATTACCTAGTCCTTCTCTATGAAGGGCTTAACCCTTTTGGTTGGACAATTAAACGGTTTTGAAAGTTGACTTTCCCCATAGCAATTACTTGTGATGTAACAGCCAGTATTACTTAAAGGCTTGCAACTCAAAGTTGAGACTTTACTTTTATTTTTTATTTTGTTATGGATTATGGAATGAGTTTGTTTTGTTAATGCTTATAGAAAGAGTGCCCAGATCATCATTGACTAACGAATAAGGCCTTGTAAAACAGGAGCTGGTGTGTTGTGTTGTCATTCCCGGGTAGACAATCACTTTTCTAATATTTTCTTTATGAATATTAGAAAAGTAGCTCAAAATAATGTTAAAAACGGAAAAGTAGCTCAAAATCCATGCGCTAATCATAACTATCTGATATTAAATAATATGGTGTTTAGTTCCCTCTGACATAAGCAATTTGTGAAGGGATATGGTGGTGCCATAGACTGCAATTGCTTGTTTATACAGTAGTGAATTTTTGGCCTATCACCATCATCTGCCATTGATGACCTTGATATGGTTCTGATACAACTATATTCACTTTCTCTATATCCTTTAAGCTATAGTAAGTATATAGAGCCAAGACTTATTTAGAATAGACATGGACTGGGGAAATTTCTGACATATTCATCTAGAAAAGAGTATATTCTAATATGGGATAGGAGAGGTATGTAAATGTAACTATGGTCTTTTATTATGACTATAATTTTATTTTTTACCATCCACTGATGGTTGCATAATAAGAATATTATTTTAAAATCTCATCTAATTTATGTATGTTAATCTTTGACCATTTTTATGATGACATATAATGTTCAATATTATTTGTCGGATTAAAATACCTTTCTCTATTATGTTTGTGTGATTGATTGTGTTTATTAAAGCTTTACTGTATCTTAAAATTTGAAGATTTTTGTGTATCGCTGGAATTGTGTAGTATCATACGCATATTGTATTAAGTATCTTGGTATCATAGAGGTGTATCTAGTGTTGTTTCACATATAAACTGTACAATTTAGGTTGATCTTTCTGTACTTTACTCCATAAAATAGCTAGGTATAAAATTGTCTGCCAAAATTTTCCTTTTACTTTGGTTTATAATTGCTTCTTATCTGTAGTTGCTGTCTTCACCAGCTCAATTATTTCTTTTACCTTAAATTTTACATTTAACTTGACTGGCTTTCTACGCTTGTGTAGTGTTGTTATAATGGAAGGTGATCCTCATCCTGGAGCACTTAAAGGTCGAATGTCATTTCAAAGTTTTAATCCTTCTGTTGATGTGAGTTTGAATATCAAATTTCAAAGTTGTTTCTTTATTTACCTTGTTGATCTAGATGTGCTATGTCTTTTTGATTTTCTAATTCCAAGGCTGTACGATTTTAGAAATTAAATGAGGAAGAAGCAAGATTACGTCAGCCAGCAGCTGAAACTACTGTTTCTAGAAATCAAAATGCAAGCGTCTCTGTCAGGTGGGTTTCTTTGCCTAAACTCCATGTGGATTTTATGAATTTTTACCCAACATGGATCCAAAGGTTATCTGTTTATGTTTTACTGTCTATTGTCCCTAACGGCTCAATCGTTTTTAATGGATAACTATTGAAATTATTTCCTCATATTATCACTCAATTTTAATTTGGTTCTGGTTATCTTGTTTCAGAGAAAATAATTTTTCAGTTGAAAGTCCAGAAAGTGTCAACGTTAACAAAAAGAACGTGGAGGTTAACGGCAATGTTAAAAGGAAACAATCTGAAGTAGTTAGTGAAGCACAATATCCTAACAAATCACCAAAGAGTGATCATGATGATAAGAAATCATTGCCAAGCTCTAGTTTGGGCACTTTTAAAAAACCTGGTGGAGATAAGCTGGACTGGAATGTTCTTAGACCATCAAGTGTCAATCAAAGTAGATGAGTGTTGTCGATTATTTGATAGCATACAAATTATGCTAGGTTTGGTTATGTTTCGGGCTTGGGCATTTATCACAATTTCTTTTTAAGATTAAGGATTTAACCTGCCCATATAGATGGAATACTTTTAGATGAAGGGACAAATCGTGGGTGTTTTTTTTTTGTATTATTGTAATTTATGAAACAAATAGTCCGTTGGAAATGAGCTTTTAGCTATTAAATATGTTGTGACATTAAAATGTAAGTGGTTACAAGTGAATTTATTATTTCATTTTTTCTGAAACCCTACAATTTTGAGCTTTCCTGTCTTTCCTTTTTTCTTTAATATGAAATTGAATGCTGTGAACATCTATGAGGAGATTTGAGTTTCCTTCCAAAATGATAATTCAGACATGATACATTTGTGAACCTTGTGAAGAAAATACGGTGACCCGTGAGAAGTTGAGAGTGATGTGGCAATTATAATTGGCATCGGTGGATGTAAGCATTCGCCAGATTGGACTCTAGCACTAGTACTTAATTTGTGGCAGCTCCACACATTTTATTGAGGGCCTTTTGAAATGTCGATCATCTTTCTCTGACTTTAAAATATAATTGGACAGTGATATTGATGATAATTTTTTCAAGATCCCCCGATTTCACTAGATGCCCTTGATCATAGTAATCAAAGGAAAAATATTATGTTCCC